TTTTTTTTAAATTTTCGTGTTATTAAATTATTCATAATATAAATTAATTAATACATAATTAATTACAGAATTGCTTCTATTACATAATCGAAATATCAAATGTGTGATTGTACAAAGAAAAATCAAGTTGAAAGTTTACTTAAAAAAAATTGTAATTTAATATTCTTAAACTTGATATATGATCAATCAAAGGTAGTTCATAAATTGTGTAATTATGCATGAATATTACTGTTAATCTTACAGTGTTGAAGCTAATCTGCTTCTTGAGGAGGATGGTGTTGGTTCTCTTGAGTTTGGTGTACATCGTCGTATGCATAATACACGATCGGCTTCATCACAAACTGGAAAACGCGATGCAACTAGAACTACTGATGACTCTCGAATCTCTCGAAAATCGTGGCCCGAAGTTGCTGCGACACTTGTTATTTCGCCCGTAATCTTATTTAAACAATTTAGAGCGAGTATCAATTTAATTGCCAGCCATTTTTATCGATAGATCGAACTCAACTCAACACGATAAACAACTCTCGCACACGCCAACAACAACATCAATTCATCATCAACTACAGAATTATCATCAACAATATTCATACCTCAACCAAAAAGGTTTACAAACTGTATAGTTATTAAGACTTGTTGCTTGAAGTTACCTCATCATTAGCCAGACGAGATTCCACCACGTAATCCAATACCGATTTGAACACGTAATTATTCATTCGGACTATTCGATCAACGTTGCCTGGCTTCGTACACTCTACACTACTGATCCTAATTACAATGCCATTTGTCTAATACCTTTATCTCTCCAAATCACAACAATAATCTACAATTAATCATTGCATGTATTAATGTAATAATGTATTAATTTTTTTTTTACAACAATTTTTTTTACAAAGTAATTGCCATAATTAGAGCGATAATTTCATTGCACAATTAATTAAAGTCTTAATTCAATTATTTGGAAAAAATGAAATTAATTAACGCGAAAATCTATTAATAAAAAGTAAGTAACCGGACTAATTGAAGAACTCAATAAAATAGAAAGATTAACTATAAAGTGATCATTTGTATATAAAACAAAAGTAATTGTGTGTACTGATTTTATTAGAATTTATATTTTATTGTTTAAAACCGGACTAATCGACGAACTCTATAAAATGGAAAGATTTAATAGTAAACCGATCATTTTCGTATAAAAAATAGTTTTGTGTACTAATTTAATTAGAATTTATTTTTTATTGTTTAAAACCGGACATATCGACGAACTCAATAAAATAGGAAGATTTAACAATAAATAATAATTTTGTGAACTATTTCTTTTTAGAATTCATTTTGTAATTAAAATTTAGTTTGTTTTGATGCTTTTAACCAGTCTAGTGAATCCGGACTAATCGACGAACTCAATAAAATAGAAAGATTTAACAATAAATAATAATTTTGTGAACTATTTATTTTTAGAATTTATTTTGTAATTAAAATTTAGTTTGTCTTTATGCTTTTAACCAGTCTAGTGAATCCGGACTAATTGATGAACTCCATAAAATTAGAAAGATTTAACAATAAATAATAATTTTATGAACTATTTCTTTTTTATAATTTATTTTGTAATTAAAATTTAGTTTGTTTTGATGCTTTTAACCAATCTAGTGAATCCGGACTAATCGACGAACTCCATAAAATAGAAAGATTTAACAAAAAATAATAATTTTGTGTACTATTTCTTTTTTGAATTAATTTTGTAATTAAAATTTACTTTGTTTTGATGCTTTTAACCAGTCTAGTGAATCCGGACTAATCGATGAACTCCATAAAATTAGAAAGATTTAACAACAAATAATAATTTTTTGAACTATTTCTTTTTAGAATTCATTTTTTAATTAGAATTTAGTTTGTTTTGATGCTTTTAACCAGTCTAGTGAATCCGGACTAATCGATGAACTTCATAAATTAGAAAGATTTAACAAAAAATAATAATTTTGTGAACTATTTCTTTTTAGAATTAATTTTGTAATTAAAATTTAGCTTGTTTTGATGCGTTCCAACCAGTCTAGTGAATCCGGACTATTCGAAGCTGCACTATGCGAGGTATTACAGTATTTCAAATATTTAAAAGGATTAATATAGTATTACTTAATTTATGTATTTCACGGAACAAAGTTTCTTTAATTGATAACAAAAAAAAGCAACAAGTATATCAAATAAAAACAATTGAGATAATATTGGTTTACTTACGAAGTACATGATCAAAGAATGATGTCTTAAACGATCGACGTGAAATCGAAATGATGGATGTTCGTTTTCCGCGACATCGTTTAAATATGTAGGTGAAATACGATGCGAAAAGTCAATATTATGCGAGAGTAATTTATTGAGACACGTTTTCCCAAACGTAAAAACAGAAACGCAAACGCTTCCACTAACAGAAGCACGAGCGTTTAATTAGCAGACACAAACAAAAACTAATATGTAAATTAATAAAGTAAAAATAATTTCAATATTTCAACTGGCAAATATGTATATCTTTTTCAATGTTAATAGATTTCAATATTTAAATTTTAAAGTTTTAAACTATAATTATATTTATTTTGTTCATTATTTAGAATATTTTGAAATATTAAACGCTCAATCTTGTATTGTGGTAAACTACAACGTTACAGACACACAACTTGTGAAATATATCTCAGTCTTAATTGCTTTATAAATTATTGTTTTTCATATGCAAGTAGTTAATATTAATGAATACAAAGATGTTAGCTATAGATTTAATTGATTACTACAAATCTCGCAAATTGAGAATCTCATACATTTGTCTTGAAACTTGTAAATTATTTATGATAATTATGTTACTAAGTAGTATTAAGTAATTATTGCTATATCAAAAAATAAATTACAAGCGAAGATTTCTAATGTAATTTTAAAATGTAGAAATTTAAAAAAAATACGAAATTAAATATCAATTCCAGAAAAAATCGCGACAGAAAACTTCAAAGATTTTCTAATATTAAATATATTTCTTTAATTGCTTTAGAACTAATTAATTAATGATTTTTCAATATATTCAAAATAAAAAGTATACTTTCAATTATTTTATGTCGGTGGCAATCGAAAGCCCGAAATCCCGTCAATGAAATTTCCGACGTTTGAAATCCCGACTGTATCGAAATCCCGACAACCATAATTCCGACTGTATCAAAATCCCGACTATATCGAAAATGTCTACAATAACATTTTTAATTTATTCCGGAGCGTAGTCACTTTTAAATTGTTATTAATAATTAATAACAACAATTAATTTATTTTTTATTATTCTTATTGATAATAAAAGTGTAGCACATGTAGAATTTTCGATATAGTCGGGATTTCGATATAGCCCCATTTTATATACAAACACACTATCATTGTTATTTTCTTTTTTGTATCGAGTAAATTGGAAACATATGCAAATCAAATGCAATTTAACAAAAATAATTCATTAACAATTTTCAAAGAATGATAGTTTTTCTCACCCACGACAACTATTGCTTTAAAACTAATTAATTAAGTAAATAAAAGTATACTTTACATTTTTTTGTCAATTATATCATACATTGTTAATTTCTTATTTTTATTTGTTTTGTATTGAGTAAATTGGAAATATATGGAAATCAAAAGCAATTTAATAAAATTAATTGATTAAAATTAAATTTAAAAGAAGGTAGTTTTCTCACCTGCGACAACTTTTGCTTTAAAACTAATTAATTAATTAAGATTCATTACAGTAAACAAAAAGTATACTTTACATTTTTCTTCAGTTATGTTATGTTATTGCTAAGTATAAAATGCGATAATTACAGACACACTATCATTGTTATTTTCTTTTTTTGTGACTAGTAAATTGGAAACAT